TTTGAGCTTCACCCAGGGGCGAATAGAACTCTTGTTTAGGCAGTGACACTTGAAAGTCATTATCTTGTACAATCCTGGCACCAACATACCGTATAAGAAATACCACAAAGCATATAAACCCAAGGATGAAGCTTAACACCCCCAATCCTTTGTGATTACAAATGCCATATCAGTAACAGGAACTCAGGAAAACATGCATGACACACCATGACCACCTCAGATTATAGTAATAAATAAAGCAGTTGAGCATTCTCATTTGACCAGGCAACCACTAGTGATTCTGGATATGGAACAGATACACTGCAGTACCTTTTCATGATGAGAAATTCTACCAATGTGCTTAACCAGAGCTATGGGGCTGGGCCTGTGTGGTGCTGCTTCAAATGCAGCCCCAAATCATTGTATGAAATGGTTTGGAATGATATCCCTGGTGTGTTGTGGGGAGGAGAAGAGGGGGTAGATTTAATAAACATTTCCCTCTGACCTACCTGTCTCTCACCCATTTACTCCAATCCCCTCTGATCTTCCCTGCCACACATTTGCATTTTCACACACCTGCATTTTGCATATTGGCTTAAGCTTCTATTCAACCCAGGAGAGCACACACACACCAGCAGACTCTCCCTATGCCTGAAGAAGGGTGTTTGTGCCTGCAAGCTTGTAAAAAACAATTTTTCCAACCATTTTGTTAGCCTAATAAAAGATATCACATTTACCCAAAGCACCTTGTCTCCCTAATGAGTGTGTATTGTGGACTCTCCACTGTTGGAAGCTTTGAAGAGTGGGGTTGATGAAACACTTGGCTTGGAAGGTTTAGACAGAGATGATCTTGCTTGAGCAGATGTTTGAACTAGATGACCTCCTGAGGTTCCTGTCAGCTCTATCTTTCTATGATTTGCTGATGCCATTAATGGAGGTTAAGAATGCTCTGCTTTTAGATTTATAAGTCAAATGAGTGGATCATCCTACTCCACTTGTTCCACATTAAGGGCTTAAAAATCCCTGTACCTGGCCAAAAGAGAAATCTGTCTATGCAGGAAAGTGGAAACAATCATACAGCTGCTTCTCAAAGGCCCTGACAGGCTGCTGTATGATAGAATATAGCTCTGGAGATTCCTGGTGGTGTTGCTGCTCATGGAGCAGTACAGGTGCTAACATATATACATAGATACACATGCATGTACATATATATATACAGCTACTAACATATATACACATTGGCATCCTTTGATCTGTGAGAGATGGTGGATATTGCAGCCTATGATGTAGATATTTTGCAGTGTCTCATATCTTAGACTCACCTACATCTAAGAGAATCTAACTTATACTGGGAGTCTCTCAAGTTAGATGCTGAGGGGACGAGCACAGAAACATGGCAGGTTGATGAATTAAATGATGGCTGACCTTTCAAGGTAGAAAATATGGATAGGACTTTAAAAAAATAGAAAATGGTAAGGTATCCTATACATTGCATTATGTATTTTAGGAGATGTTAAATACTGACATGACAAGGATGTGACAATTCTCATGAGTAACTAAACAACTAGACGGTATGTTTTATTTGTTACAATGCTGACCAACATTTTGTTGAAACACCACCACCACCACCACTGGTTGTCCTAGTGCTATGTTGCTCCTCAATGTATACTGCTATTCTTGGGAGTTTCTTCTGCACTCATGGTATAGAAAATAGTCCCAAGGGAAGTATTATTAAGAGGCTGTTGCTCCTATAAACACCATCTGTAACATTCCTCCAGCTTGCTGCTATGGAACTTAATGGGAGGGGGTACAGAATTTGCTGGTTTACTAAGAAAAAATGTCTTCAGGTGGAATAGAGGTTTTGTAAAATAGAAGACATAATTTATTTAGTGCAGAGTTAGACAGTGAATGAAATTTTTGGGGGGCCCAGATTAAACAACACATTTAAATGTGTATGTAACTTTAAAAGGACAATTAATTTCTTTCAAGACAGTAGGTTTACTTGCATGTGTTCTGGTACTCAAGGGAGGCAAAATAAATATGAAAGTTCTGATGTTGAACAATACAAAATTATGCAAGCTTTAAATGTGACAGACCACTAATTATTTTTAAAAAGCACTGTATGTAGTATTAAGGGAAAGTGACAAGAAAATACTAGTTTTTGCTTAGAAATAGAGGTTGACTTCATAGTTCTGTTTATATTTATATCAAGATAGTGCAAACTCTTGGGGAAAGAAAGCATCTCTTCAGTCCGTGTTTGTACAGCACTTAGAATGATGCAGTCTTGGTCCATGACTGGCACGCTAGACCTTTCTGCAAAAAGTAATAGTAATAATACCTGGAGAATTGCAGGTACTTAGAATGCAGAATTCCAGAAGAATGGTATATTCTATCTTCTATGTTTTCTGGGATTTAATGTAAAGAAAAAAGCATCTGTATTTGTTGCATGCAGGATTTTGTAGGGACCTATACCCCACCCTCACTGGGCTTGAAAAGGGGGGGTGGGTAGGGTTAGAAGTTAGCCCAAACTGAACAGTAGTGCTAAATGGCACCACTGGTTCAGGGCCCAGCTTGGTTCTGCACGATATTGGTGTATTAGCCAATGAAAAAATAAATAAATAAATAATAATGAAAAAAATAATAAAAGTAACACCAATCATAATACTATAAAGCTGCTAACATATGCATCGTTTCATCTGTGAGAGACGGTGGATATTGCAGCCTATGACGTAGATGCTTTGCAGTGTCTCATGTGACTGGATAGTCCAGGCTGAGCTTTGCATGATCTGTGGCAATGTTTGCAAATGTATGTGTCATGGTTGGGTGGTTCGGGAGCTGCTTGCTTCCCATGGCCTCTTTTCTCCTCAAGCTGTTGGAGCCAATTTCTGTCATGGACTTTTATGCCCTGGTGGAGATTATGACACCACTTGTTCTGATAAATAGATATATACACACAAGGGATACATCATTTGTATGATTTATTAGTATTGTGGAGCCCCCTGTGGGTTCAACAACTTTAAAAGCTGCTCATCAGCTGGGTTTCCAGAGCTGCACGCTAACCAACAGGCTGCAGCTCTGCTCTTCTCCTTCCTTACTTCACAGAGAGGCGCACAAAATACAGGTTCTTCACAAACAGGCACTAGGTCCTGGAAGAATACAACAGCTGCTCTCACAAGGCAGTCAGACTCAGGCCTTACCATTACATGGAGATCCCCAGATCTCCACGGGTCGGCAAGGACAGGAACGAGGACAGCGGAAGCTCAAAAAGTGGAGGTTGTCCCTCTCTCAAAATAACAAATGCCCCTGCCTATTCTTGCATCACAAGCCACAAGTAAAATTCCTTGCCACACACAGAGTCCCCTCACACAGGTCTCTTGCCCCAGCTCCTTTTATAGTGCCACATACTTCACATCACCCCATTCAATGTTGTCCAACCAAATCATGCCTGCCACTTGTCACTTATAGTAGTTAGTTACAATCTTGCTGTCAATCAAGGTGACTGTTTGCATTTGCCTGGGGATTTCCCATCAACTTAACTGCACATGTAACTGCACATGCTCTCACTTTCCTGAGTGGTTCAAATAAGTTAAAAGGTCGTCTTCTTCTAGAGGCTCCTGAGATGGTTAGTTGTGCATGCTCCAGGGACTTCTATTACTACATAGTTAACCAGACAATTCCTGGATTAACTTTCTCAAACTACATATTCAACCAAAAATTAAAAAAAAACCAAAAGGAAGATAAGTTACTGGAACTGCTGTTTTCAAGATTCTGCCCTTGCAGAGTTTTGAAAAGACTATGCTCTGTTGCAATATTCACATAAGAGCCGTTGGACCCCAATCAGACTCTTATATGTGTGATTGGTGTTAAATTGCATTTAGCGGAGCTGCTCACATCTATTAATAATGCTTTGTGATGTCTCCTGCAATGAATCACAAGGTTATTAACCTTGGAGCATGGAATTTTTCAAGGATCATTGTAGGAGGAAAAAAGCAATGGTAGACTTCCATGCACCACCAACAAATAAAGCTCCATCCATGAAAGGTCCTAAAACAATGCCACTATAGTAGATTTTGAAAATACGATGGTGTGTTGCAGGTGAGGAGCCAGTTCTACTAGGTTTTTTGGGATTGTCTCCTTCTTGGTTAGATTAAAATAAGTGGTAGTATTTCCCAAAATGCCACCTTTTTGATACCAGAATGTGTTATCACAGTATATTGTGCAGACTTCCCTTCTCCCTCGTCTTTCTTACATGAGGAATAGATAGTAAATGATGTTGACATTTAACTCCGATGCCCAGTGACAAAAACTTAACACCTCACTGAGATAAATGGGGCAGTTTACATGTCTGTGCTATTGTTCCAGGTTCCCTGCATATTTATATGGATATCTCTACATGGGTTATACTCCATCATAATTTGGTTTTCTTCACAACTATAACCGCTGAAGACATTCCCCCCCCCCCAATGAAAGCTGTGATTCTTCAGAATTAGATACTAGCTTATTCTAGATACCTGTGGTACTGCCTGGTTTCAAGGATATTTTTTAATGAAATAGTAGTGGCTCTTTATCTTTAAAAGCACAGTGATTGTCTCATTAATATATGTGTATGGTCTATGGCTTCTACTGGAAGTCTTAAAAGAAAAATACAAACATGCTTTGTTAAAAAAAATGGTTTTCCATGATTTGCTTCCTGTTTCCATCTCTGCCAGTTCTGAAGCACTAAACGCCACCTCCATCCGGAAAAGCAGACAGGCAGTATCCGTTTGAAACCAGAATTCTTACTTAATGAATAATGGCAGTGAACAGATGCTTCCAAGGTTGCTTTTTTAGTGTTCACTTGTTCTCTTACATTATATTTAGAGACTTTGCCAGTCAAAGGAGTGAGTGATTTCATTTTGGAATTCCTGTTGCCCAATATTTATATTGCTCACTGTCACCATGACACCTGATAGAGTTATAGTTGTGGAAGAAGAACAATCATTATCGTTGAATATGTATTATTACATTTTTTATCACTCTGTTTTTAGCCTGGGAGCAACAATACAGTTCTCCTGTGATGAAGACTATGTGCTTCAGGGTTCCAAAAGTATCACTTGTCAGAGGATAGCTGAAGTTTTTGCTGCATGGAGTGATCACAGACCTGTGTGTAAAGGTAAAGATAAATTCTTTTACTAGTAGTCAGACTTAATAGTTTTCACAATTCTTGTACCATGTTATTTTGCCCTTGAAATCTAATTATATTACATTGACATGCATTTAAATATAAACAGCACTTTTTCCTGTTTTCCTTACTTCCTTAATGAGGGGTCACTTTTCATAATGGCTTTGGTTTAACTTGGGTTTTATGTACATCATTTGCTTATCTGTTTCTTGGATGACATCTGATAAAATGAACTGGTGATCTCAATTACCTTCATTTCTCTGAATTGGAGCCTCCTTCAATACTTGACAGACTGATGGAAAGAATTAATTATAGTAAACATTTAAAGTGACAGCAATTAAGTGACTTATGCTAGAAAGGACAGGCTTCAAATTGGCAGTTATTTTGTATGCAATCAGTAGTTCTTAATGAATGAGCATTGCCAATTTCAAGAAAGAACTTCATGAATATTTGAAATCCAAAAAGAAAGACTAGGCTTTTAAACATCTGATGGAAAGGTTAGAGGTGAGGATTTGGATTCTTTCTTGAACTCTGCAGCCCATAATAAAAGAATGTATCAAATTTAAGCATTTTGGGTCAATGGGAAAGTGAACATTAATTGGGATATTTTGTTAGCTAGCCACACTTTGCAAAGTATGTATTCTGTTAGATTATATAATTTTATAAATTGCCAGGAAACTTAAACAACAGTATTGGCAAGAAAAGAGCACTGCATCTGGTACCTTATTTTGTCACTGTTCCAATGCCAGTTGCATATTATTATTTTCACTTTTCTTTTAATTTGAAAATCTATGTTAAAATTTAGTCAAATGCTATCAACAGCAGTGTTATAAATCTCTGAGGCATGCATGCTATTTAGGAAGTTCCAAAAGGTATTACCTAGCTTTTCAGTTAGATGGCCTTCAGTAACTGTTGACAAATACATTTTTTTCCATTTCTGTGTGGTTTGTCTTCTGAAGCAGATCAATAGATTTCTAAGGAAATTAGTATAAATTTAACAAGTATAATAGTATAAAAGGAAACCAATACATGGGATTCATCCTTGAAATTTCCAGAAATGGAATTGCAGTGCAATCAGTTCATAAACTTTTGAATAGTAATGCAAAATGAAGAGGGAGCTTAACTGCTAAGCTAAATGATTGTTAAGCTAAAAGGTACAAAAGTCGGTGATTGTTGTGAAGGTTAGCAATGATGATCATCCCTGCACCTATGTATAGTAATCATATTAATGAAATATCTCATAAGACACCATTAACTAACTCATGGATAGAATATGTAATTGATAACCTGATAGTGTCATTCATTCACTTCTTTATGTTTGACTACTTAGTTATAGTACATTCTTTATGCAGAACAGGTGATGCATATTAAAAAAGTTATTAGCAATTAATATAGAGGCATATGGTGAAAAGACAAATAGACAGATGGTATAGACATGGCAGTTTGTCAAATAGTACATACTTTATAGTTTTCATTAGTTGCATTAAAAACACTGATTTAAATGCCTTTGACATGATTTTATTTGTCCTGTTTATTAATGAGCAGATTTTATTAGACTTAAACTTATTAAAGACTCAAGAATATAGACTTAATTTTTGCATACACTAATGATGATTGACAGCTTGACATCTTATGCAGGAGGTGTAGAAAGAGATACTTCAAAGGATTAGTTAGAAGGTGCATCTGATGCTCTCTTTTGAGATTTCACCCAGTATTCTCAAGTATCATTTTATGTCTTCCCTAGATATCAGCCCTATGAGTGTTTTCATTCATTTATATAAATGATCTATTTGAAAAACCAGCTGAATTACACTTTTGAAAAGCGGCAATTTGAATATCAACACTTAGTTACATTGATGTTCTGGGGTTGCACTGCAAAATTTTAAATTGGAAGTTACTGATTCTATTAGATGCATTTGATTCAGCAACATAAATCCTCACAACTTGTTCTCACAGGACAGATGAGTGGCTGAGTATAAATCTTCCTGCCAGAAATGAAAGATTAACTCACTTTAGGAGTTATCATATAATACCAGCTGGAACTGGCATAGGATCATATTCGTGTAAAAGAAAGTTGGAATGAGTCTGAAGCATTTCTGCAGCAGAAATAAAATAGAACTCTGGAAAACGAATGTGACACATCACTTGCAAAATGAAGGCAAATATTGCAGATTATGAACTTTGTTTAGTCCTTAAGGGAAATATAATTTTTAAGTTAATATTTTCATCAGGAGGGGGGCATGAAGATGAGTAATTTCAGAACCTGTTTGCCTCTGACAGGCCTCTGAGGAAGTGGTAAAGTTTATTGGAAGTCTTGATAACAGAGAATAACAACCAATAGCATAACTAGGGTTGGATAAACAGTGTTCCAGTCCTGGGTGCTGATTTGAAACGGGACACCAAAATGGCATCTCCTGGGATACTGGAAAAAAGAAAGGGTGAAACTGGAACTTGAAGGGAAGTATGAATGAAAATATTGTTCTTCTTCAGTATTTCATTGCAGTATGAAAGCATATTCAGCCTCTTTATCCTATGGATAATTTTTTTTATAGAAACTGGCCAAATTTTAAATCTTTTCAAGATGAGATCCTGGATGTGAACTTTACCCTCTCCAAATTTTGGTGATTTTTACAAGCTTTTGACACCAACCCATATCTGCTATTAATGAACAATATAGTGTTCTCCTACACTTTTTTTCAAAGCACTACTGTATTAAAGAGCTGCAACTCTTGAATGACATATCATATAGAATATATTTTCATCTGAAATCTGGATGCATAGTTTTGCATACAAACAGTAATTCTGGAAATCATAAAATCTGTGGGGATGTTCAAATCTGAAATGACCTAGCCTGACATTATAATATAAAGCAGGTTTGGTCATCAGTACCTCTTGCAATTTCAGGAGTTGTTCAGGATTAAAGAAGATCTCTCAGTCTTACAGACCTTTTTGTCTGAGTTTCAAGAAATGCATATACTAACAGAGAACCCTCACACCCCCCACATCTATTACACCATAAAAACGATATGTATTATGATCACCTCACCCTGATCTGGATTGAACCTTTGTCAACCTGGTCAAGTCCAACTCTTAACTGGGGTCAAACAGTAGGAAACACATATTGGTCACGTCTATATGCTCATTAATGTGCAGTAAGCACTGTGCATTAAATTTAGCACTTGCAAAAGGAAGTACCAAATAAATGTGCAATAGGCTGCCCTACTGCACATTACCACAATTGCACATTTTTTGTAATGGTTAATGTGCAGAAGACTAATACTACTGCAGTTTAATGTAATAGTACAGTTTTTACGGTGACACTGTAAAACACAGACAATTAGTCTACTGTGCATTAAACATTTTGTGTAGACATGCCCACAGTATACCAATGTGGTAAAGAAAGAGGGCTGTGTGTAGTTGGCATACTAATGACATATGATCTTACTAACTCCCTTTTCCCTCACAAATATCTTGAATAAGAAAACAATAATGAAGAGCCTTATATAATGCTACATGAGTATATCTTAGGCAGAAAAGCAATTTCCTCAACCTAGGAATTTGGAGGAGGGAATAATAGCCCATTGCAAATGGTCTTTCTGCAGAAAAGAACCAGAGATAAGTTAGCAAACTTCCTAGAAAAGTACTGTCACGATAATCTATCCAACAAATAACTATCAGAACCACAAAGATAAAACCATGGTTGCTGAAATGGCTAGTATGAGGTACTGGGTTCTTGAATAAAGACCTAATTATGCATCTTTTTAGAAACGTTAACTTCCTTTTAGATATGTTGTTTTATTAATATTTAATGGATTGCCATTGCTAACCTGTCTTTTGTGTTAAATTTGAGGACAGTAATGAATCAAACTTTTGACTTAGATTTGGTGTTTGAGGTGCTGACGTTAATAACAAAGAAATTGTTTTTCTATGAAAGTTTTGATTTGGGTACTTTCCTTCAGCTACAGATGTTTAAAGATTATTCCAGATTAGCATTTCTGTTCTTGTTTTGTCTAGCAACTCTGCTTGGCAGCCTTATTTGCTGATTTTCTGAGTTTAGAGTTTGAAAAGACAGTAATGTGTGTGCTTGATAATTCATTATGGTTTTCTTGTTGTTATCCCTTATTCTGTAATCTATTTTTCCCATGTATGTATTCTAGTAATATATCAGTTGGTTCATTCCATTGCTTTATGGAAGCAGTGGTATATAGGGCACTCACTGAGTGTCTGGAGGGGAAGAGGGGAGCACCATTATGCTTCCCCCACTCACCCCCGCTCTCACATACCCTATTTAGTGCAACACTGCACTGCCCAGATCCTGTGGCTGGGCAGAGGCAGTGTAGGGCTTCCCTCACTGCTTCAAAGGTTCTCCTCACTTTGCTTGACCCCTCCTACCCTCCAGCTACACTGATTGATGCAGTACAGCACTGTCCAGTCCAACTCCTATGGCCAGACAGGAGAAGAGCATAAGTTCTCTGCTGCAGCAAAGACTCCTGGCATGACGGGTATCCTGGCACTCCTTCATAGTTGGTGCCTGGAAGGCGCCCTCCTCATGTCACCCTACTTATGCTACTGTATGGAATATTCGTTGTAGACAGGAAGTTTTCATTAAAGAAATTGTTATTAAATTGTAACCCGGGTGGTGGCCCAATAGTTTCAACCCCTGCCTAATATCAGGGATGGTGTGGTGAGAGTGGGGCAGGGCTTCAGGCAAGCACCAATTTGCTTTCCAGCCGGCTCCTGCTCCCCACAGAGCAGCCCATGGTCCCAAGAAGGTCTAACACTTAACTGATTTAACTATTTACACTTTATTTACAAAACAAAAATAATAGGAAGGTTATTTACAAGTGAACTTAAATGGCATAACCAGAATCACAAAACAAACCAGAATGCATTAGTCAACCCTTGACTTGAGAACCACAGGTAGGGGAACTGGCAGCTTTCAGCCACTGCTGAGATGCTACCACAAGGAAACAAGGTGGTCACTCCCCGCA